TGTTATATGGCCCCAGTTATGCACAGTATATATGTGACTGTATGAAATGAAAATGGAAAATAAAAACACATTTACAACATAAGATTATTCCGTCTATCCATTACACTGGTTCAACATTTATAAAAGGGTATATTAAACTTGCCACTTCCATTATGAGTGCAGGAAATCTATACTTTACAAGACTGAGGCTGGGGGGAAAAAAAACCTTGTTTAGTGACAACAGTCCAGTCATCCAGATGTCCTCGTAAAGCGAGGACCTCACCAGGTTGTGATTCGCAACTTCCTCATTGACTTCGCTTGTCCAAAGCTGCGGGAAGAGATTGCAAATCAGTCACATGACTCCAGGGATGTTGTGCCAGCTATACGTACAAGAAATAATTGTTAAATGAGTATTCCTTATAATGTTCCATGGATAATTGAAAGAAAGTTGCCCATCTTATCTTGAAATTTGAGCAGTGCTATTTGAGAATAGGATGTTTTTATGTTCACAAATAGTTGTCCTTCCAGATTACCAATTTAATACTAAGATATTTTTTCTTCACATCGAAGATTCTCTTGTGCCTCTTGCTCTTTCTTCTTGGTTGATAATATTGTTATCAATGAAACTGAGTGTTTTTGTTTCTTAAATCCCTGCTGTTACATTTCCCTGCTGTGACATGTTACCATGTCATGTAAACCAGTGGTAGTCAACCTGGTTCCTACCACCCACTAGTGGGCATTCCAGCTTTCATGGTGGGCGGTAGGGGTTTGCTGTAACTCTGTTTTATAAATTTTATAAAGTAGAGTTATTTCCCTACTTTATAAATCACCATTATTGTGGAACCGGTGGGCGGTTAGAAAATTTTATTACTAACAGAGATACAAAAGTGGGCAGTAGGTATAAAAAGGTTGACTACCCCTGATCTAAACACTAAACCAGTCAAAGATACTTCAAGCTATACTTAATGTTCAAAGGCTGTGTACTTTCATGCTTATTTCTCTTTTCTGTCCAAATGCATATTATTAAAGCTTTATACTGAAGGCAATCTGTGATTTGGTCACTTCTTAATCTGGTGTGGCTTTCAACAGTACGGTTTAGGAATGTATCAGTCAAAAGATACTACATGTTTAACTTGCAAAATGGACATTTAATTCCCATCAGATTAAAATTGCATGTAAGAATGTGAATTAAATAACTCTCGAGAGTCACCAATTGTTCTGAAACAAATCTAGATGTTCTTTTAAAGTTCTCAGGAAGATGAAAAGCATACCTTCTTCTGGGTTCGCTACCCCAGATATAAAAAAAAAAGTCATAGGTAAATCTGCAGTTTTAATTAGACTTTCATAGTTGCTTAAAAAAAATAGTAAACTTTTTATATCTTCTCGGCTTCTGTATGGGTGGAAAGTTTTTCTAAGAAATTTCGTTCACAGCCAGAGAAAAGGGAAATCCCTGTTTTGCATGGAACAAAAAATACCCAACAGAATGGAAATGTAAATCTTTCCTGGTCGGTCGAAAACACTGAACCTATTATGACTACAGCTTTTTGAAATGAAAGCATTTCATACCTGTGGGATCTTATTTCATGAAAGGCCAGATTATAAGAACATGTAGCTTGCTAGAACCTCTCAGATGGCGGGACACTGTTGGTTTGTGATACATATTCTTAAACCTGAGCCTTAGGAAAAACTGTGCAAGAAGTTAATTCTATATTTTTCTTCTGTGCTTCCCTTAATTAGGAGGGTTTTTTAATTTATTTTTTAGCCCTAATAGAGGAGCACTGTAAGCAGATTGAAGCAAATTTCATATTTCTTATTTCTAAGAAATAATAGGGCCAAATGCTGTCAGATGCAGTGTAAATATAACAATCCTAAATTTCCTAAACTTGCTAAGAGAGAGAAAGTGTAGTACAAGTTTGCACATCTATCCTCTCTCCCCATCCCTTCCACATATTTTCCTTCTCTTCCGATGGAGCCAAAGATAAAGGCACAACCTTGATCAGCCTGGTTTCTTATAGCTGTGTTGTATATCAACAGGTGAACATTATATTTCAGGAAAGAGCAGGTGTCACAGGAAAGGCTGGTTTTCTTTTTTAACCAGTGCTGAAGATTGGAATGTATTGGTGATTCTTGGTCTTCTCTATGATACTCAGTCAGAAAACAATAAGGCCTAGTCCCCAGCCTCCTTTGCTACAGGATACATTCGGTAGATTAAATGCCAAAGAGTCCTATGGCAAGTGTTGTGGCCCAGCAGGAGCTGTTGGCGCTGCCACCAGACTCCGACAGCGAGGGGGCCTATGAGTCGGCTCTGGAGGATGTGGAGG